AAATTATTCAATCTGTTTGTTTGGTAGGAAGTCTTATTTTGTCAAATCCACAGGGAAATCTGTCATTTTTTATTAAATCTATTTAAACAAGGGATACAAGTCGTGGCCTCGCACTACCAGCACGGGTTCGTAAAATGCATTCACACGTGTAAACTGCATAAAATATCCTCTATTCCATCAAAGTTACTGTAGAAGTTAATATATGAACGAGTCATTACCCAAGTTCTACTACAAACACTTCATTAAAACCTGAAAGATTGCAGGAAATAGCTAACATTTCAATATTTACATTGGCTGTCAAATTGTCGTCCATTTTGCAGGTGTGTTTATGTTCCGAGTATTTTCATTGGCTGATGAAAAAACCGCTATTCGTCGCGGCTATATGCCGTTATTATCCGGATTATTATCATTCATTAGCCAATGAAATTGACAGTTACTAACAGAAGTTGGATTTACGCATTGGAACATACGGGCAACTACAAAATGGCAGCTGAAGTTTAAAAATATCAAAACAAACAAGAATTCCTTGATTTATATGTAGCAGAAGTTTATGATTGCATCATTGCTGGTGGTGGGTGATTGATATTTATGTGATAACATGATTAAACTCTCTCATATGAGTATAACTTTGCATAAAATATAGTTTTACATGTGTAATTTTACATGCCGAAATTTTACGAACGTGTGTACAAATGAAACACGAGAGCTTAACTTTTAATATTATCTTGTCAATGTATCAAAGTGGGACATTTTTTTATAATAATCGATTCTTTCATGAAAGACCATCAATCAGAAGAGAACAATATTGTCGTATAATGCCTTTTATTTACTTTTTTATGAATTGACCAATTTTGAGTTGTATCCCTTGTTATATTATATATACAGTGGGAAAGGAAAAAAATGACAGAATCCCCTGTGGTCAAATCTACTTGGTAGAAAAAAATGTGAGAATCAATCTTAAACAGTTAAAGAAAACTGTACCGTTGCTTGTCAGTACTGCAGCATTGAAGTAGAACTACCTTTAGTGGGTTTGGAACTTTTTTGCAACAGAGACACACTGTGCAAGAAGCCAATAATCAGCTGATAATGTCTTTCTGCCTTTTCTTCTTTTTCCTATGTGCACGACATGTTGTTGTTTTTCCAATTTTGTGACTTATTGCGGGAAAACCGAAGAACAGTGAAATAAATAGTTTCCAACATTGACTTCTCTATATTTTGATTTTTAATAACATTTAATCAATTAATGTATAAATATTAGTGTATAAATACAAGACAAATCAAATTATTTATCTAAGAACAAAAGTTTCTGGAAAATTTTAATTTTATCTCTTTTTTTTACACAAATTACTCCGCTTGTATTAGGTTTAATAGTACTAATTTAGTTCTGTCTCATTTTGATGTAGGATGAACGGTAGTAAATTAAATTTGCTAAAGATCTAGTTTTTATCAAAATAGAAATATAACATTCATAAATTTCTGACACTTGCAGCACATAGCCAGGCCCAGAAAGGAATTACTACCCATGATTTGAAGTGACATATAAACCGCACATAACAAATAGAAAAGGACTAGGTAGTACATGACAACAATGAGATTAATGAGTAGAGTTTGTTTTTAAAAGGAAACACTTTTCACAGTAACAACAAATGCAATAAAAATGTAAAATACTTGTATAATTACAAACTAGATCTATATATTTGACATTATAACATGTATATAATCATCTGGGCGAAAGCCCGTTGCTTTTCCTTAGATACAAATGTAGGCTAGATAGGCGTTGAGGTGCAAAGATTTTGGATTCACATAATTTTATGATCAGAGTATCACAAGTTCCCACAGCACTTCCATGTGGCAAATCCAAAATTACACAAAAGGGGCTCTGAATCGATCATCTGACTTGCTGGAAGTATATGTAATTAGGTGAAGGTCAAAGTTTATACTACAGCATGACATACCTTTTAATCCTGGGAGGGTTTTTTTTAAAGTAGAACTGGTTTACAAGCATAACAACTAAAGGTTGTTTTCTAGGTAAGCACTTTGGATTTTATTTTATAGAGATTCTTTGAGAAACAGCAGTAAGACAATCTCGTGACCAGTAGTTTATACTGTACCTACAGTGGCATGTTATTATCAAGTCTAAAGCAGATAGATAATCAATGGTAGGATCATTGAGATGTGATCATAAGTTAATCTTATCATGCAAATACTGAAAAAACATTCCTATGGCATTTTAAAACATCGATATGTTAAAATCACCCAGAATAACTAGAGGCTTTAATGTACCAAACATGGAAAGAGTTTTCTCTGTCTGCACAGTGGCAAAAAGCAGAAAAAACACTTTTTTATTTATAATCATAATACCCCAAATTTGCATTTCACTCTTGCAATATTCGGAAAGAACAAATACAAGATTCTGGGAGCTAAAGCACCCTGCAAGATTTTTAAATGCATCATTGACATAAAATAATTAGTTATCCGCGTGGAGGTCTTTCAAAATGTTGATGTACTACACACTGGTCATTGCGTATTAAATGGTATCACTGTATCTGATCAGAAGTATCATTATCGTTTTCGAGTAATCTAGTTTCCGCCAATCCAATAATATCACAAGACAAAAAACCCTGATCATGTGTCGTATTAATGAAACGCCCATTTAATGACATCAAATGTACTATTGTTGAGTAATGACATACTATTGTTGAGTGCAACTTTAAAACACACACACACACTAACACACGCACGCATCCAATCACCATTTATAGGTTTAATTGACAATAATCTCCAACTGCGAATAATCTTACACCTCCAAATGGATTATATGTGTCTTTTAATTCTTGCAGCCTCTGATTTATGAACCTCATCATAGTATTACTAACCACTGAAATTTCAACCGATTTTGACATCAGAATAATCTCGATACTTGGATATGAAAATATTTAGGCTCTCACATGTTAATGTTTAGTCGGACTGTTTTGTACTTCTGCTTGAATGCGGACGAAATTGCTAGAACAATTTATATTGAAAGCTGCTTTTCAGTATATGCAGACAACATTACTTTTATATCGTCAGTATTTTCTCCTTCTTTCAAAATTAAGCATTCCTATATAGAGTTTGATGTAATGTTCCTATAGCAGCACATTTACCTACGCCAGCACTATCTATTAGAAAGAAATGATTACAAAAAGTGCGTCTTTTGTTTTTATCAAGTGAACAACGTGATTGTAAAAACTCTTTCTGTTTTGAGTTCAAAGAACGCAGAAGAGCTCTGTTCTCTTCATCTGGTAAAATATTTCATTAGAACTGTTTGTACAGGGATCTGGAAATGGAACATCCAATTTCTATGCCAATATCAAAAACTGATTTGTACAGATGAAATGGAAACATCCAATTTCTATGCCAATATCAATAATTTCTCTTTGTTCACTAATTCAAAGTCTGGATTGAAATAGATAAATATTTCTGATTCTACTGGCTTCTTTCAGGCACATTTTAATGCTTCCACTTGCTGACAGTTCCACGGGCAAATGTTATCGTATGCATTGCAATTCTGCTACAGCCATATTTCTTGCTAATTCTAACTCATCTACATGAATGTTCATGCCATGCGCACTTTTCATTTACAGCATTTGGATTGATTCATACTGTTCTTTACAAAGACTGTCAAAAATCGCAGAAATAATGTGCATGTAAAGAAAACAGTCTGCGACGTTGCTGCAAGCTTACGACCTCAAAAACATTCGTACGAAAACGTCCTTCCGGCTCACCGCACAAAACCAAGCGATTCTTTTCAAAAATTCGTTCGTACGGGCTGCCTTAGGGCTGAATGTGATTAGAGGCGTTACGCAACGGTGGGCTGAAATATAAATTTCCCCCACTCTATGGGCACGTATTATGTTAATCTTAGAGCATGGACCATAAACGCATGAGCTTTTCTTCACAGAAAGTGATAGCCTTGTCTGCATTATATATTATGTATCATAAATAATGTAAAAACCTTAAAAAGAAGATAAAATTTAAAACTTGAAGTTTAACATTAAGTCACCGTTTACATATCTAAATGATTTATTTTACCGAAACCGGTGCTTGGGTTTAGAGTGAAGGTGGAGGGAACAGAGCGAGTGTGCGCGGTGTGGTGGACAAAATCAAGCGATGAAACTGCCGTCCGTTTTAGTAATAATTTATTTCACCAAATTAATCTGCATGATTTATTAAAATAACTACTAACACAAAATATGTAATGTATGAATAATCATCTTTTCGTTGACACATATTTTTTTTCGCATATTTTAATGTTTTTGAGGAGTTAAATACTTATTGCCATTTAATTACTTAAAACAGGAATCCAGATCATCACATAAATAGCCTTTATTTATTTCAAATTAATAAGAAAACTTGATAAAAAAGCGTGATAATTAAGTTAAAAATCATGTCATCATTAGGGCGAAACTTTCCTTTGGGTAAACTTATGTCGTATGGCCTTTTAAAAATCCAGCTTGCAATCTCTGACATTAAAAGAACAAAACATAATATATGCGAGACATCAAGATGTAAAATAAATAATATAACGTGATGAAAGGCTATGAGGTATACTTTAAAGTGGTTGTGTTGCAAGAAATACTGACAATTATTCTGTGATTTGTTCTTGTTATTTTTGCCAGCTAATATTATAACTTGTGCGAGGTCCATGCATCGTGGTACCTTAACTTGTTTAAAGGATTTCTGTTGTTTGCTGACGTAACTATGAAATGTCCTACTTTCTAACAGCTTCGAAATTTTATTTTATTAGGGCTTTTAATTAAATATAATGCTTTGCAAACATTTGTGCAAAAGTAACTGGTTATGCCAATTTTAGTTTTACTTAGTTCAATGTCAAATCACTTACTTAGGACAACGTATAATTACATATTATATCTATCATTTTAACGCCTTGTCGTAATAGTACTTCTCATGGCCACGTCCACTAATCTTTGCCCATGGATAGACAACAAAACAAAACCAAATGTCAATGCTCAACGTTATTGCAAATAAAAACATGAATATTCATGAAAGATAAGAATCTTTCCCGTATCCGTATCCGGCCAGTTTCAATAAGTTCCTGTAACGATAAATTAAAAAGAAAATACATATATAATGTTATAACATTTAAAAACACACTTTGCCTCAGAAATCCATATTATTTTATCTTTAGAAATGTCAAATATGCGTTAATTATGTTGTAACACAGGATTAAGAGTATATTAGATGTTTGAACAACTGAAAAGAAATGCGCTCAATGTGCAGTATTGTATAAGAAAAATAGCAAAATGTAAACAAAATTGACTTCCATACAAAATACTCCTTCACTTTGAGTATATCTATTGCCAACGTAAAGGCTGGTAAATCTATTGAGCAAGTTGGTAATTTTTTGAAAACCATAACAAGATGCGAAAAAATAAAAAATAAAATAATCGACATTGAAGGTATGGACATTCTAGGAGCAAAATAAAATAAAATAATAATGTTAAAAGTCCCTTCCCGAATATTCAAAGATGTTCCCATAGTTGAAGGTTGTCCCTATTTAAATGTCTCGTCTCTCCCTATTTTCAAGAAAGACTTACACCTTAAATGAAATGTGTATTTACATTCGAATAACTCAGTACTATAACTTATAATTAAAATTGATCGTTGTTTTAATATCATACCTCATTTGACAATTTGGCACAATACCACGTATCACTCTGCAATGATATAAGATATGATATAATGTAAACACGTTACAAGCTTACTTTTTGTTATTGCTTTGTCCACTTAGAATTAAATTAATGTGTAATCATATAGTTAAAAGTGATACAATAGCAAATTTTTTAAGGGACCTATACTATATTAAATGTTTGATCGCTTTTGAAAACCAGTAGAGTAAAGGGGAGGATGTAACACAGAAAATCAGTATTTACTTCGTTTATATTTAAGTGTTCTTGTTCCTTTTTCTCGGCTTAGTCGGCTATGAACCTATAAAGTTATGTTTGCATTTTGATTAATGGCAGTATATACAAAATTCTTTGGTATTCCCGAAGACAAACTTACTTTTGTATCCCATGTTGTTGTAGAAAATTGTCATAAGCCATTGTTGAAATCGTTTGTTCATAGTAATATCGTTGTAGTAGTAGTTGTCATTTCCAACCCCGTTGTTCATGTAGTTGTTCATGTAGTAACCTCTGTTTATAGTAGTAGTCATTATGTAGTCATTTACCATTCCATTGTAACCTCTGTTGTAGTAATATCCCCCATACCGTACCATTGTTATAGTAAGGAAATTTCATAGTTGTAAAATAACCCTTACCATTTTTTGTTGAGTAATTACATGTAGTAACCTCTTGTTGTAATGTTTCCGTAGTTTCCCTTCTGGTAATATCCCCTTTCATGTAGTCATTGTTTTCATAACCTTTTTTTGTTCTGTAATAATTGCCATTTTAGAATTTTAAACCCCCATACCATTATTGTAGTTCGTAATAACCCTTGTTTTTTGAACGTTGTTCAGTAAACGTTTTAACCCAAATTGAACCTTACCATTCCAAATTTTTTTCCCTACCCAAATATTGAACCCTCACCCTTCCAAAAAGTTTCCATTCCCTATTAAAACCATCAATTTTTAATTGTTTCCCTACCAATATTGAAACCATTCCCTTCCATTTTATTACCAAAGAATTTCTTCTCTTTTTATTGTTTTCCCTTCACAATATTAAAATTTGGGTTAAAAACCTTATATTTCAAAAGTAAAAAAATTTTAAAAATGAAAATGTTTACATATAAAAATTAGTATGGGCTTTATAAAACGCGATATATTAAAAAATTAAAGGAAAAAACCCGTAAAAAATTTTTCCAAACCTTTATGACAAATTAAATTTTTTCAATGGTTTCATAAAAAACCGACGCTATATGTAAAACTTTGATTAACTTTTGTCTGATTTTTATTTTTATCAGAAAAATTTAATATTTAAAAACTTTAAAATCATTTTATCTAAAAAAATCCCAAAACCCACAGTTTTGGTAGCTTTTTACCCTTGGCTAAAAAAGGGAAGCAAAAAGTTCATGGAAAACCCCACGGAAAAGGCTTTTTGTCCATCCCTCTGAATAGAAAATACATAAATTTAAAAGGGTAAGATTTAAGTTATTTAACTCATTTTTTACTTAAGAAGTGAATACTTGTGGCGTTTTTTTTTATTTAAAAGCAATCGTTATTTTATATATCCATTGTTAATTTAGAGATTTATTATTGTTTAAAATATTTAAAAAAGTCATAAGTCGAACAAATACAAAGTACCATATAGTTTTTTATACCTGATAGAAATTTTTCCTTCATTGTTTCCCCAGTCAAATTGTGACATTCCATTGTACCAATCTTAAAGGTTTCTACGTATATTGTAGTAATGATCGCCACCGCTATAGTAGGCATAGTGTTCACCACGGCTGTAATATCCGTTTCCCCATGTTACATTTGACATACTTCTGTCTGCTCCTCTGCTAGAGAAACTGTCCCATTTCCTACAACATATCAATATTATGTTTCTGAGAATGCTTGGTACTATTTTGCGTTATTTTATAAATGAGTCTTAAAGCATTCCATTTTTGCATTATTTTGAAACAGTGAGAAACCACATAGATATAATTGAAGGTAAGAATCAAAACAACATACTCATTCTTCCCATTCTCTGCCGTTGAACCATCCTTGTCTGAAGTTGTTGAGTGTCTGCCGAGAACAATATACTCCATATATCTTTCAGCACTCTCACATTGTGCCCCAACTACAGCAATAATACGAGAGAAAACTGCGCTGCCAACATTATTATTGTTGTGAAAACCCCAACTTAACAGTAAGACTGTTGAACTGCCAATGGAAACATACAGCAAGACACGTTTATATACTAATTCTCATAACGATAGTGATTACTAAATTTATAATTAACATTTATCTTGGACACAAATTGCATGTGAATATCATTTTTAAGGAAATTTTCAGAATGGTAATTTATTTCATATTGGGTAATATAATTTCATTAAAACGTATATTCAGCGTTACTGCAAAATATTTGCATTTTCCTTTAGGTTAAAGGTTTGCTTTCTTTGAATCTTGCATTTCCTTTGAATCTTACTTACCTTTTTACAGTGACACACCTAATATTTTTGAATCGAAGCTACTTGCTATATAACTATATAGCAAAACTACATATGACTTACTTACCTAATATGGAAAATGATAATGTTACAGACTGGAAACATTTATTGGTCACATTATGGTTATTTATTTACAACAAGTGTTCAAATAGTTTTCTTAAAAACTGTGAGAAACTACAACATTTAAAAATCAAAGCACAGAAGGCGCTGAATTTGTTTGGGTCTCAGAATGTAAAAAAGGTGCGGGATGTGAGTTTAAATTTTAGTCCAAAATGTTTTTCCAGCTTTTTTAATTGTAGAAAATTTGGGCTATAAGACTAATTGCAACCGATATTAAAACCCAAGTTTTTGCTTTAAAAATTTGAAAAAAAATTCCCCTTTTTGGTTTTAACCCAGCCTCCGCCCCCTAAGCGACCAAAAACCCTTCAGCCACGGTGAAATTTTATATGTGAAGCGGGCTGAAGAAACCATATTATTCTAAATTAGGGCTTGTAACACTTTAACGTTGTTTAACACAGATGTAAATAATCCTGGAGCTTCTATAAGCATTTATAATTTATAAAAAAATCAAAGGCTGCAAGTTCTGGGTATTTTCTGATCTTTGCAATCTAAATGTACTTATATCTGTATGCTTTTCCGTAAGGTTTATTTTTATTATTATAATTCATTTTGCAAGGCACCAGATTTTGATACATACGGAATTCTGCATAACTAGAGTGCATCAAAAAAATTCATTTAGTTCATTTTACGACAAGCCACAACTTTATCCTTGCATATCATGGCTACTTCCCCTTAACAAAAACAGCTTAAAAAAAGAATTTAAACAAAAAAAAAAAAGTTTCCTCACTGGATTTCGAACTCGAACCCTCAGCTTACTAAGCGAGCGCCGTTAACCCTTACTAGGAAAATTTAACAGAAATCTGAAAAAACCAAAATTTTCTAAATTTAGAACTTCCTTTGCTTTTGGGGTTTTAACCTTATTAATTTCGAGGTATTTTTTCAGGTAAACCTTTTTGTTTAATTGAATTTAAAAAATTTTAGCAAAAAATCTCTCGCCCAAAACAGTCGACAGTAAATCTAATTTTCCACTACTCGTTTGTTAGTATTGGGAATAAATAGTTTTTTCTTAAAAAATAAATTTCCCGTAAGTGATTGGCATTTACTGAAATTTCAAATAACCCAACCTATTTTTAACTTTAAATCTTGTAATTTTTTGATATTTAACAAAATAAAAAAATTTTTTCTTTTAAAAACGTAGTTTTAAACGTTTTGAAAACTACTTGTTTTTAGGTTTTTCGAAAATTTTGTGTCAGAGAGATGTCCGCTTTTATTTTGTTTTTTTTCGATCAGAAAATACAATAAAAAATATTAAAATCTTAACCCTTGGGGGAATTTTTGCTTTTGATTTTCGCCCGCCCTTTTACCATCTTTCGCAGTGACCCCCTGAATTTTTTGGGGTTAGTACATACAAAGGGAAATAACCGCTTCAAAAATGGGCTAATTGGGATTTAATTAACAACATCAGCTCTGAAAAATTTGCACCATTATTTTTTTTGGTCTGACGACCCCAAAAAAATAAAAAACATTTTTAAAACCCACCATTTTATTTCTCTGAAGAGAGTAATTTATAATCGTTTTTTTTTGCTTTAAAATTTTTTGTAATAATTTTTCCTGAATGTCTTTGTATGTCGGGTGTGGTGAAAAAAAAAATTTTTCACTTTTTTTTATTTCCAAATTTTTCCCGGGTTTGACACCCTTTTAACATTTTTCAGGATAAAACAATGAACCCTCATTTTTAAATAAACATTAAAAAGATAAACAAGTAAATTTGTCGTTTTTTCTTTACTTCTATTTGAATTTAAACTTTTTATCGAATGCATGCTTATCTATTAAACAAAAAAAATTTAAATCAGATCATGTAGTCTCATGCGGGAACATATACAAAATATTGATATTACACAATTAAGTAGTTGATTTATGAAAAGAACATTCAAGAAAACCAGTACTTGAAATTTAAAATACTGCAATGAATTCTGAAATTTTTTATATGCTAACTAAAAAAAATAAAATATTGAACCAAAATGTATTTTTTAAAATTCATAGCTTATAACGTTACAAAAACTGACATATGATAAAAAAAATGAAAAAAATAAATAAATATTTTTTATAGTCTTACAAACGAAAATTTAAAAAAAAAAGGGAAATTTTTATGGAGATTGGACTTTTCATTTAAAAGTGCCC